CTTTTGACATCATCCATAATAAAGTTTAGTAAGTAACGAAATATGTGCCAACTCTTGTGATGAAAAACGTGCCCTAACTAGCGAACGCTCTATGATAATACTATTAGTGTACTTAGTATTTCAGCGAAAGTGGATGCAATCATAGAGATGGAAAAAGGCTCAACGGAACCATAAAATATGTTTTAGACATGAGTGGTCAAAGGCAGATAATTTCTTAAATCTCATTGACCATGTCTCGCAGCAGGTAGAAAGATCGAGCGAACTGCAGCTTAAATGGGGAATTTCATTTTTATAGTGGTTTCAAAAAGGTTTCTGCAACCAGAAGAATGCATTTCTAGTTATCTTTGTCGGGATTATAATTTCGTCTTTCGCGTGGCCATTAGAATGGATCTAAGAAATTTGAGATAAAGTCTGACATTTCCTCAATCAGCAAGGAATTAAAAAATTATTATAATTATAAAATTAGGTATTTTATCAACTTTTGTTATATAAGACGAAAAGGCTTTCGTTTTATTTGCATTGATCCTGAGTTCGACTCTCGCTGCAGTTGTTCATTGTTTACCGTATTCAATTTATGATGCTAGACTGATTTGTACAACTCATCAGTGGTGACAAATGATGTGCATTATCCATTCTATCGCATAGACGAATATTATAGAGGAAACAACACAGCCTTGATGGACACCAGTTCTTATTGAATTAAGTAGAAAAATAAAAAAATTTTAAAATTTTCAATCGATTAATCTAAATTTTTTGAAAAAATGAAAAGGTTGGTACGCCAGAATTAATTATCATTGAAATTTTCGTTTAAAAAAACTCAGTTGAGTCTTATTCACGTAATATTGAATTTCTGGTAAACAAGCAATTCCTAGTATTTTGAATCAATTCAATATTTTGCTATTCGTCGTAAAATAAATGGAACTTATCTGCTATCAGAAGGTCATTAAATAAATAATGTATTTCTCAAAATTTTGAGTTAGAAATATCAAGAAAATTAGTATTAATAAATTAATAATTGTTTTCTACAGCTTCTTTCCATTTAACAACTAGAATTCTCTTTTGTAGAAGCTTGTATCATCGGATATTCTTGAGAGAACGTTTTTTTTAAAGTAAATGAAAATTCCCTAGATTGAGGATATAAATGGAAAATAACATTGCAGTGATCCGATCAAATGGATGCCAAGAAGGGAAATATCAAGACTGCAAAATGGGTGATGTGAAACTTCCCAGCTCCTTCTGTTGTTATGTTAGAGGAGTATAGCTTTTATCTTAGTTATTGCAGGCAGGTTCGATGAAATTCATTCCTGAAACAATAGAATGATTTGAGCAGCTCATATTACGGCTACATTATCGTAGAATATCTATTTTCCATAAAATTCAAACACATATTGACGAACATTGTAGCGTACGCTTTTGGCAGTTGGCAGTAGGAACTCTAGCCTCTAGCCTTATTGAATTTTTCACTCGTTATTTGTTCTTCAGCCATTTCATCCAATGTTTATTTCGAACCAACTTCGACCAAGGAACGCATAAAATCTATATCAACTTTTGAAGGCCTATCAGATCTTTGGCAGCCAAGTAAACTAAAATTGCCACATCCAAATTTCGAAAATCACATCTGATGCTCAGAACCATCGCTTTCAAATATTTCGTATTTTGACTTGTTTTTATCTATAGTCATATACGTTCTTGCATATTGCTTGTTAACTGATCGTTATTTGTTTTTATCTATAGTCATATACGTTCTTGCATATTGCTTGTTAACTGATCGTTATTTATTTACTAGATGAAATTGATAAAGCAGGATATCGTAAATGTTCCTCAATTCTATCTCTGAAGCATCAGCTGAATTTTTACCAAACTTAGCTAAGTGAAGCAAACAATGCACTACTTTATTATGTAAATTACTTGGACTTGGGAATTTTATAGAAAACAATTTCAATGAAAATTCACTTTAAAAAGATAGCAATATTTTTGAGAAAATTGCAAGGCACAAGATCTTGTTTGGAAAGCCTTTTGTGAATGAATTTATTTATTAAAAAGCCTTAAAAAAGCCTTAAAGAAAGAATGGGTGGAAAAGGTTATTGAATTCTCTTGATTGAATTTTATTTTAAAACATCAATGGAGTTTTAATATTTTTGAAAAAAAGACATCTGATTTTGTTTTTTATAGGCTTTTTGTACAAATTTTTCATTTTTTTCTCAAATCAGTTGAAAATTGAACTAAATTGGTAGGAATTTTTTTTTCAATGTTTTCATCAAAATTTCTTACTTTCGCTTGCTTTCATCGACCTTTCAAACTTTTTTTTCACCTTTATTTCCTACTTTGACATCTCCAATTTCATGGAACTTTGCTTGCTTTGTTTTGTTGCAGTCGCCGATTTGCATTTATCAGTTACGTTTCTTTATTAAATATAATCAAAGAGAAGTAAAAAATAAAATTTTGAAATCAGTTACTATCAGTTTTGTTTCTAACACATAATTCGTAGAAAAAACTAAATTAGAGAATTAGCGGATAAATCATAAATCGTATTTATTGCAATGCAATGCACTTAATTTACTTTTAATTTTACAAATTTTTAATATTAAATACTTTCACTTATTTATCCATTTAAGAAGGCAAGGAAAGCATTGTTTTATAATTTCGTGAATAATGCCATTAAATTTTCTGCAAAAACTGAAGAATAAACGGTACGATCAAAGCGTCAGTAAGCAGCATTTTCCAATTATGGAACAGACTTATCATAAATTTTCCAGAAACCAGCTAAATTCCACTTTTCTGCAGAATTTACTTAATAATTTTGCAAAATAGTATGCGGGACGTAAGTAAAAGATTTTAAAATGGTCAATAAACTAATAAAAAATAAAAAAGTATGATGCTATTTTTTTTAAATTTCTTCTTTTTTCTTTTTAACAAATATCCTTTTTTTTGGCATAAAACCGACGTATATATCGATGAGAAAAAAGGGAATGAAAGCATTTCTCATGGGAATCGAGGATGAATTCATTTGCATTTTGGTCATTTTTAAGTTGGAAAAAAATCGTTTCCTTATTTATTCGTTGCTTTTTTCCTATATTCTTCTTTGAAATTATTTTCTTTCTATATATATATATATATGCCAAATAAAATTTTGGGCAGAGAAGATGTGGGAAATGAAGGCCAAAGTAATTCCAGTAATAATTGGAGCACTTGGAACTGTAGCCGCTAGGAAAGTGACTTCAGCAGATTCCATGAATGACATTAAAGATTCATTGCTACGAGCAGTTAAAATATTGTGCAAAACCCTCAACCTTCCAGGTCTTTGGCAGAGAATGGTCCGAGGATGATCCTTAGCACCTATAGGGATGAGAAAGGGTTTTTTATATTTTCTTTTATAATGAAGGCACGTAAATGGTAAGCGCTTTATTACTATATCTGGTTAGGTTAGTTCCAATGGTTGCAAATTTTTGTCAGACAGTCATTTATCGATGGAAATATAAGATGGATCATCTGCAAATTCTGGAAGATTTGCGACGAGTGTGGAAAAGCAATCTTAACTGTCAGATCTAAATCCAAATCAGCCCACCACCCTGTTAACCCGTTCATATAAAATGAATATATTTTATATATATAATATAATTCATCCGATCAGCAATACCTCCATCACCATATCGCGATTTTATTGGAACATGCTAGAGTTCATTTCTTTAAAAAATTTACTTTATGATGTTTTGTTTTTATCGACAAATATTCGAATTAATAAAAAAAATTACTTTAAGAGAGATATGACTGGAGGTGTAATTGGCAGAGAACGGGCTATGTGCCTTGATTTTTTACTCGCCGATGATTATTTAAAAAACAATTATAGTACTTCACTGTAAGTTGCTTTTATTGTTATTTCTCAATTTCTATTATTTTTACAAATAAAAGTAACATTTAATTAATAATTTATAGGTGCGTTGAAAAAACTGAGTTTTATTGTCTATAATTTTTTTCCCTCAAATATCCCATTTTCCACATCATTTTAACCCTTCATTCAATTTTTTTGCCCTTCCCTTAATTTTTATTGTAATATTACTTATAGTGAATATTATAAATTAAGTTTCTATAAATTGTATAGGTTTATGAATTTCTTAGCCTAAAAAATTCTAGCGTTGAGAACAGTGGAAAATCATGATGGTTTATCTCGTAGATTATCACTTTGTTTCTGAATCCTTGATGAGAGTCCTATAGCGTTTAGTTCAATACCATAGTTTGGTTCCTGTCACTCTTTACAAAAGTTGTCAGTTATGCTTTAATCTTTCCTTAATATCATCAAATTTATTCGCCGAATTTTCGATAATTTCTTGGCGCGAGATCATATTTTTAAATTTATTCTCATAACTTGTGAAAATTAATTAAGAAGGCTTCTTTTTTGCCAATTTAAATTAAATTTGGCAATTAAAAATTATCGCCTTAGTGTTTAGTTAGTTCTAATATGATGAACATTCTCCACTTCTACAAAGAAATTAATTAAAAAATTAATATTGTCATTATTCCACATCATTTTAACCCTTCATTCAGTTAATTAAAAAAATTACTTTAAGAGAGATATGACTGGAGGTGTAATTGGTTTTAATTAATACATAAACAAGTATTGGCCAATCAACCAGATATCTTGATAATAGACAAGAATGGGAAATTAGCACTGATGATAGATATAGTAACACCAAGGAACGTCAGGGAGAAAGAATATGAAAAGTTAGAGAAATACCAGGGACTGGAGCTAGAGAAGATATGGAAAGTGATCCCAGAGCGATTCCAAAATAATTCCAGCGACCATTGGAGCACTTGGAATTATGACCCCTAAACTAGAAAAGTGTCTTCAGCATATTCCAGGAACAATATTAGAGATCTCTAATCATAAGAGCGCACTATTAAAGCGAACAGCTAAGGGCAGAGAACGATAATTAACAAATTCGCATAGAAAAATGAAAAAAAAAGTCTTCAGTAACATAGAGAAAATGATTTATCATTACAAAATGATTTATCATTTATCATATATATACATTTTACGACTCATACAAAATCTTAGAATATGTGACGCGAATTTTGATCGTTCACTTTGTTGGAGGCGAACTGAAGTTAATACTACAGCGCAACGAAAATGTCCATTTACTTTTTGCATGAATATTAATGGATGTCAGCAAATTGCCCGTTAGTTCATTCTTTTTTTTCAAATTTCTCTTAGACTTTTTCCTATCACTGGGAAGACTTTTATAAAAGTGAATTTTTATAAGCAGATGGCTTTCGTTCGGTTATTAATTCATCAGAAAAAAAAAATTAATAAAAAAAGTGAACCAAGATTTTTTAAATGATAGTCCAAAACTTTGCCTCTTAGTACGATAATCCAAACTAACATCCACTCGACTTTATTGAAGTGATTTTATGCAAAAAAATTTGCTCTAAAGCTAATGGTTTCAAATAATGGCTTCTTACTTGAATGATTTTGTAGATGAATTATTTAAAATGCATTGTTTCCTGGGATAATACGCAAAATATGCGAAAAAAAAGAATATTGAAATTTTAATGCAATCCAGAAATACAAATTATTAATATTATGCTCCCATTGCACCAACGATACGCGTAAGCACAGATATTGATAACGCTTCGTCCAGTTAGCAATATGTGAAATTCAGCTTTCATCCCTCTATTCACAATATAGAACAAATTTAAATAGTTCAGAATTCCCAATACAGAAATATGGGTCAATTCAAATGCTATTTCATCAGGCTGATTTTTGAGAACTCGACTGCATGGATTTTATTTCTCTTTTTTTTTAAATCGATCATCACTCCGATTTCCTAGTTGCATAGTTAAATAAATGAGATAAACAATACCTCAAACCTGAACAATTAAATGTTTATTAAAGAAAATGGATGTAATTTTAAAAAAAGTTAGCGATTAAAAAAAATATAGAAATGGAATACAAAAAGAATTACAATTAATATAAAATCAAAAATATTGCGATCCAAATAAACTGTTAACAGAATTCAGAATGATTAGTGATTAGTCAAAATGACGAAACTGACTTGTGCCAGCATATTCTGCAAAGTAGTATGTGAACCAAGCCATTTTCATTAAATTAAAAAAATTTGAAAATTTCGTTGAAAAGTATCAGTCAACGATCAACTTACTAATCACAAAAATAGCGATTTTTCTTGCCAAATCGTAAGAATTTAAAATATATTATAAAATCGCATTTTGCGATAAGTTAGATGCAGTTACTATTAAAAGAATAAAATGACAAATTTCATTGGACAAATACTGTTTCTAATATTTTTTCTATCTAATAAGACTTAATTCAAATTTTTTTGATAAAATGCTTTTTGTCTACAATAGAAGAATATAAAGTGGAAAGAACTTGCCGCGCAGATGGTACTTGGGCTGATCCAGTTTATGAACAATGCATTGAAGTCATTAAAAATCATCCGCAGTGTATCGTCGGTTTCTGTAAAACGGTTAATGTTAATGTATTCAAAAAATTACCGAAAAGTCATTTTAAAAAAATCATGTATTACGTGTATAGCGATGGATATCTATATATTTAAATGTTTGACTAAAGATTGATGCGAGTTGATAGTGGCTTAGGTGGTCTTGCTGAGAGCAACGATTCGCTCTCGACAGTAACCTATCATAGTGCTGGCGACATACCTGCATTTTTAACGCTAAGTGACTCAATGGAAAAAATTTCTAATCGTACAAAATCAGCCGAGCTAGACTAACCAGAAATATTGAACGTTTATCTAGAGACATGTTAAGTTCAAAATTATAGTGAAAACATTTAAAAAAATAATGAAAAAAATAAATGATATAAAACAACGCATTGAAGATATAATCCTTAGCCACAGATAACCAAAAAATTATTTTACTTGGCAGTTTACTCCAATAACTGGTGGTAGTGCAAAAATAATTGGAAGATAAGCTTTTAAATCTACAAATGGACTTGCATTGCCTCTAGTATTTAATTTGTAATTTATGAACAAATGACAGTATTAAGAAACTTCTAAATCTGATTGCTTTTAGAAAAATGGAAGCGATATAAAAATAGAACAAAATATGCAAAAAATATAAGATATAAAGGTTTTGATCATTTCAGTGTCCTGATTTCCTTCGAGATTTGGTCATTGGTGTTTCATTAACTTTAAGTATCATATCAGTCGCATTACTTGTTACTGCAATTGCATTATTTACAATTTTCGATTCGATACAATGTAGGAGATTATTTATTCATAAAAATTTGGCGACAGCTTTTGTCTTCCGCTTTGCTGTTCTTGCTGTTTGGACTATTTTACAAGCATCGAACGCCTTCCAGGATTGCAATTTTTTCAATGCAGTGCCTATTTTAAAATATGTTAGTTCACTTTTTTAGAGTTTTTTTCGAGAAGATGACTTTTTTCAGCGTTTTTTGTTTTTTATTATTATAAATCGTGCTATAAATCCTTCTAAATACTTATTTTTCCTTATTTTTTCTAAAATTTTCTGACTATTTTATGGTTGAATTCGACTAGAATTAATGTAAATAAAAGTTGGTGGAATTTCTAGGTGATCCATAATTTCCATAATTTGCATAAAATATTCCTTAATCATAATTTTTTCCATACATAAATATCCATAATTATTTTTTGTTTTTTAACGCAAAACAAAATTTGAAAATCGATTGTCATCTGATTCTAAATGAATGAAGAAATATGCTGATTTCTGGGACTTGGCTAGTATATAACTGTATATAACTTTAAATATAGCGTTAAAATGTAAGTATGCGGTCAACTTTTCTGGTTATCTCACTGGCTATTAGTATGAAATTTATTAGCGAAATTTTTGCCAGGAAATCACTTGTTGATCGAAATATAGACAAGCTTACAAATTTGTCAAGATTATTATTGAATGACATTAAGGTTTAGTGCTTTCGATGGCAAAATCTCCGTTGCGCTCAAAGCTATAATCACCATAATCTGGATAACTCAACTATCCATTCTCTGCAATATGACCAAGATAATATTTATTTGTAGCGAATTTTTGGTAGATTATTGGATATAATGAATAAAAAATTGATAATAAATTTTTCGATAATGTATCGATTAAAATAAAATTTTTATTTAAATTATTCGGAAAATTTTAACGAGATTGTCACTGAAATAAGAAGATAGAATTACAGAGCACATCCTTGTTAACAAATAGAAGTCATTTTTTCTCCAGTTTATGCTCAAATTCTTTCCAAGTTATTATTTTTGTATATTTAACTGTTTAAGTTGAAGATTTTGTTTTTTTCATTGTTGGTTATGTTTGCTTAATCAGCTGTTAAGACAAGGCCATTTCATTAGAAAATCACTTTAGTATAAAAGCTGAATGGCCATATGGCATCGTGACAATTACTATTAACAATTACCAAGAAATTAAAAATTATAATATATTTCAGGAATGGATGTGTAAACTTTTGCTCTGGTTTGTCATTTATTTCCAGGTTGTTTGTTTGTTTTAACTTCATCATTTCCTCGATTTTTCATAAAAGATTAGAACTTTACCCAAGTTTTTCGTATCAATTTTTTTCCAAATTTATCCATTTTTTTATCAACGGTCACTTGCTAAAAGATGACGACGACATAATTATTTTCTGATTTTTGGGCAACTTGGATAAATTTATTGTTTTTTATGTAATTTTATAAACTGAAGGTTGCCTCAGTAATATGGATGCTTATCGAAGGTGGTTATTTGTACAGTAGATTTACAATATTTGCTATGAGACACAGTGATGTTCCATACTACATTTATTTGCTTTGTGGATGGGGTAAGTCCGCTTTATTACTCAGCTATTCGAATCCATTTTTATTTTGATTTCTATTTATTTTTATTGTTGTGATTCTTTGGTATTTTGTTCTTTTCATGCACTTTTATATTATTCCTTGTTTTTTTCTTAATATTCTCAGGCTTTTAATCTAGTTTTATAACAAATAAGTTCGGATTTCTAGGAAAAAAATAAATGTGAAAGGTTCATTGCTATCCCGTCTTCCCTAAATTCTTACTTATACGTGCAAATTAGAGTTTTTCCCAAATTTTCACCTAAATATTTTATTAAAATGAAATGAAATATTGCAATTAATGCATTTAAACAAAATTTCATAAAAATTTTTCGAGTTTTTGATTACAATGTTTTTGCATGATTTTAACCACTTCATTCACAAATAGAAAAGTAGTAAAAATAGTGCAAAATTTAACTAATTCTGTCAAATATTTTATTTACTTCTTTGCTATTTTTATTAAACTATCGCTGATAAATTGATAAATTACTGATAATGATATCATATATTTATGATATTATAATAATATATTTTTATACTTATGATATTATAATCAAACATTAATGAAAATAAATTGGAAATAGAGATGGCTTATTCAGATTTTTATACGATTTACATTTATAATTAGCCATATTTTTTTGTAAATTGAATAAATTTATGCTCATAAGAACTTATCCGATAAAGTTTTTGTTCTATATTCATTGCGTTTTTATTTATATATCCTTTATTTTATATATCGGGGGAAAATGAAAAAACATAGCTTGTTTGAGATATTTTTAATTAAATTGTACTGTATGGTTATTATCCTTTGAAAAAGAATTAAGAGTTTGAGGAAGAGCAGATTATGCGGAAGATTAGATTAATTGGATTATCTATAAGGATTTTGAACCTTTATTTTGTCTTCGCATTAGCTTGGTCATTTCTCCTTCTTCGAAGAAAAAAGAGCCTAATGGAAGATATGAAATATTGATTAGCTCATGGATAAAAATTTTTGAAGTTCGTAAGACGAGTTTAAGCAAAATTCATCTAAAATTGTTCTCTTAAAGGTGTCTCACTTATCGTTGTTATTTGTTGGACGTTTGTGCATCAACATCGGTCGAGCCAAAGCAATAATTCATTTTGTTGGTTGCCATATGCACAAGGATCACATCTTTGGATTCTTGCTGGTACTATGGGGGTCGCTATAATTGTAAGTTCCTTTGTTCTCGACTTGCGATATTGATTTGTGAACAAAATTTCATAAATTCAGAAAAAAAATTGATCAAAAAATTGTTTAATAAGTAAGGATTCAGCTGGAGTTTTTTTTTTTTCTCTAATCACATTTCGAAATATCTTTTTTCAAAATTATTAACAATTTATCAAAGAATTTATCAAAGAACTCTTAATAATATTGTTATTATGTTATTAATATTCAATCTAGTAAGTTTTCTAAAATGATTTCGGTCATTATTATCAAGCAGGCAGAAAATTAAATAAAATGATTGTAAGTAAAATGTTGGCTTTTAGTAACATTAGAAATTATTGAATTGTTGATTCTAAGAATTCACTTAGAGTTTACCAAAATTTCCGAAGAATTTACCAAATTTTGGTAAGAAGTTGGTTGGTCAGAATTTTTTAATAATAGGCTTTCTCCTATCAGAAAAGAGCTCTTGCTTTTTAATACGATAATCTAAACTAATCACCTCTTCAAACAAAGGAAAAAAATTCGTAGAATTAATTTCTCTAACTTAACCTTTGACTTGGCGAGAAAGTTTTTTGCAATAATAAGGATCTTTGCGAAAAAGTGATTCCATGACTAAAAAAATAAGATTTTTATGAAATGGCCAATTAATAATTTTTTACAAAATTAAATTAAATGATCAATCATTAATGGATTAAAGTTTTTTTAGTTTAATCTACTCTTTCTTCTTGGAATTGTTGTTATCCTCGTGCAAAAATTACGAGCAGAAAATACGGCGGAATCAAAAAAAATATGGTTGGTAATTTTATTATAGTTGCTTTAATTGTCTCTATCTTTTATTTTATATATTTTTTATACAAGAATTTATTCAAAGAAAACCTAAAAATTTTTTTGAAAGTTTTGATTTATTAGAAGTCACGTCTTTTTGATTTATTAAAAGAAATTCTCAATTTTTTTAAAAATGGATTTGAGGCGAGCAGTAAAAGCAACATTATTACTTGTTCCATTACTTGGTATCTCAAATATACCATTATTTTATGAGCCAACAAAGCCGAGTGGTGCATATATGTTGGGCTCAGCAATATTGCAACACTCTCAAGTAAATTTTTTATTTAAGCTATCATAATTTGCGAAACTATTATAATACTTTTTAGGAAAGAAATGTATATCACTGGAAAAAATTTTGGATTGCTAATTATTCAGTTAAAGATTAAGTCTAGGAACATAGGAAATGACTGGTCGATTTCCTTTAAAATTTACATTATTATATTTTATTTTCTCACTCTACATTTTAAAAAATGGTGAGATGCTATATATACACAATCATCAAATTGATTCTGTATTCTAGAACTCGGGAAGCAAGATTTAAATTTCGCCTCTATTGATTTTCGCTGGATTTTAAGGATCGCTAGACCTTTAGATTTTAAGGATAAAAATACGACTTCAGATTTTTCAAATAATAAATGACTCTTATCCCAATTAATATATTGAAATATATTCAAAAAACATCTAAAATCTTAATTTCCCAGAATTTCATAGTTATAGGCATCATAAGGTATATAAATCTCTGAAAAAAATGCGTAATTACAGGGAATATTTATAGCTGTATTATATTGCTTTTTAAATAGCGAAATACAAAGTGCTGTGAAGCGACAGTTTTCTAAAGTGCCATTTTATATATTTCGGTATAATTTTTGGTTAATTTATAAAAAATTTAATTGATAAAATTTAAATAAATTGGAAAAGCGAACTATTTACAAGCAGAATCGTCTTTAAAGCTCTTGTCCATCGCATTAAAACGGCTCCATAAGCCACTACGAATTTTGCTATGTTATTTTCACATCCTCCAAAACACCGATAATCTTCCTTATTAATTTTCCCCGCCTTCCTCTTCAACCTTGATTATATTCAATGTTCCTGGTCACCCTCATAGTTACAGCTGGACCTGAGGGGATAAATAATAAGAAAAATAATATTACTAATAGATTGGAACAATGGTACTTTGGAGATGTTAAAAGTATGCTTACAATTTAGATTTTCCACAAAATGTGCCTTTTGGTAGATATCAACAGGTAGACTTGAGATTTAATACTTTTAAAGCAAGTCGCATTTTTTCGAAATTATGTAGCTACATAACTACGAATTTTATTATTTACACTCCTATGAAATAGATTCTTTTGTTTATTGTTTTTAATATTACATATACAAACACATGATTATTTCTAGGGAAATGAAATAATGAAATAAATTTTCAAAAGCTTTAGAATTTTTGCGGAAATCGTAATTATAATTTATCATAATTATAGTTTATTCGATTAAATCTTTCATTCACCCTACTATATATAAATTAATATATATTTGATTAAATTTACTTTTGATTCTGTTCTATATGGTAAATTTCCTTTAAATTAACATCATTTTCAAAAATTTTATCAGTGTTTCATCGTTAACAATCATATTATCAGGCGTCGCCATTTTGAAACGGAAAGAACATATGTTGCAGAAGAGAGCAATGGTAGAAATGGCAAAATGGTTGTACCCATGGAGGAATTAAGTCACTTCAAGAAGCAGACAATAAGTGGAATTCAATAGTACACTTATTAATTACTAAGTTTTACTATGTTAAAATCTGTCGAAATATTTTATCATTAAAATTGCACAATTTATCAGATCGAATTGAATTAGCTTAAATTTCATCTTTTTCCAATAATATTCACCAAGTTCCACTGATTACTCGTGAAACCCTAGGAATCATTTGAACATTGATGGGCCACGGCAGACGTACTCTTGTCAAGGAATGGGATTCAAATAAATAACCATAGTAAAAATAAAATTCTGCGTACGCATAAGATCCACTCTTCTCTTAATTCTTATCAGTTGTGAATAGCCATTAATTTGACTAGTTTTTCGTGTGATTTATTTAATCTGCACGAATATTCATTAAATCTCTAGTGTTGATCTCTAAACATAGCAGAAAAAAATCAAATTATTTGCATTTTTCTGGAAAAAATTTTTTACTTTGCCTCAAAATTTGTTGTTAATTTAATTTTTGATATTTTTGATATTTTAGATAAACTTAGCGCTATGTTTTCCGGATGAAAAAACTGCAATAATCTCATGAAAAATTTTTCATTAAATTTTTCTATTTTCTTATTCTTATTATATCATCATTAATCTTTTCGATCATTGCTGGAAATTAAAATTACATTAAAAAGTAAGCAATTCTACCACAAAGTTTAATAAAAACATAAAATATTGCTGATACGGATATTGTTTATGGCAGTTGGATTTATTAATTATAACATTTATTCCCTTCATGAGATGAGATCAAAGATCGACTTGTGACATTGGAAATCAGGCCAGGTCGATCTCAGAAAACGTATGACTAATGCAAAGAGTTTTAGGAAGTGCAAAATTGAGAATATGCATAGAAAGAATAATTTTTTCATCCCTTTTATATTTATTGCACTAAAGTTTCCAATTAATTTTAGGAAAAGTTTTTTCCTCTTATTTTATTAAATGAATTAAATGAATATTAGAAAATAAATAATAGAACTGAATAGAAATGATTTCATAAAATAAGAGGGCTACTCATTACTCATAATTTTCGAGCGATTACCGATTATCTTTAATCTCTGTGGAACTACATTTTACCTGAAACCTCACAAAATTTTCCAATTTTTTTTTTATTAACTAAAAGTTAAAATGAAATGTGGCCTTAATTTCTCAATGAAATTCAATCAAAACCAAAATTTATGATTGGAATATATTATAAATAATTTTCCTCGAGATCTTCAAAATCCAATCTGCTAAATTTTTAGGATGCAAAGGCTTTTTAGAAAGTGGGATTACTTGATAGATTCCATCAATTCTTAACAGTTTTAAGAAGGTAATTTTTGGGCCATTTATTCTTATATTATTCATTTTGAGCCAAGCTAATTTGTAACAAATTTAATTTTTGAACTTTGATCATGAAGAGGTCATTTTAAAATTTAAAATGGCAATAATTTTATCGAAATGACAGAAAATGATCAAAAATGAACCCTCTTTCTTTAAATTCTTTGATTTATTTTGCGAGTAAAATAATTCTTATCTTAAGAATTTTTTTAAGAAGATTTTATTTCATTAGTGTAATGAAATGACATTTTTTTTCCCTCGAATTTTATTATTTAATAGCAACAGTTTCGGCAAGTTCAGCAATGCCAACGTGGTCATCATCTTCATCCAAACAAAAAAGGCTATCATTCCATTTAATTTCCAATTCTCTGCGGTAATGGTTTCCATTCAACATGCTGAGGAAAAAATAAATTCTCCTAAAAAAGTCAATTTCTTAAAACTTCTTTTTCTTCTGCTAATAGCAGCCATTATTTTTAGTTTGGCTGGTATCATGGCTATCAACTATCAATTATTTATAGATTAAATGAATTCCTGAATCAGATTTTCGAATATTAATTTATATTCAACGAATTGAACAGATAAACCGCCGGTTTAGAAAGAAAAAAGTAGAGCGAAAATCCGAAAAAATAATATAAAATGAGCGAATGCAATTTATTATACAATTATTGTAATTTCGACTTTCATTTTTGTTCAAACGAGAAGCGTTTGCAAAATTAATTAAACAAGAGTTAATCAGGAGTTATGAATGTGATAAGAAAAACTGCACAAACCTTAAAAATCAGGTTAATTGAAAAAAAAAGAGCAATTTTTATAAAACAATCTTTGCGAGAATTTTCTAATTCTAAAGTTCAATCCTCCATCGTCTTTTTTCTTTAGTTCTTTTTGTTTTAAATTATAAATTAGAGCAAGCTGAACTGGAAATTGTACAATACAAACGAGATAACTGCTCATCAAGCACTGAGGTGAAGATTCGTAGAAGTGGTCGAATTTGCATTTTGATCTTTAAAGTTCAAGCTTATGTCAAACATGATCATTGAAGCGTTACAGCCCTGTGATGCTATATTTTTCATACTTTCTTCGCAATATTTTTTTTGCTTTTCATTTAACTCTTTTCGACGCCACTTTGCTCGGCGATTTTGAAACCATACCTGGAAATTTTTTACAGATTATGCAAGATGAAGTAATGTTTCAAAAAATGATAGGGCCTAAAAGTAAATGAAATAATGGATTTTTCACCTAAATCTTCGCTAGGGAAGTTTTTAGAATATGGTACTTCATTATATCTCGTATTATTACTTGTTATTGTTTTTCAATACACCAATCCGTGACAATTTAAGGGAAGAGAAATGAAAAATTTACTGTAATACGGTCTTCAGGAATGCGAAGCAACATTGCCAGTCTTTTCTTTGATGAAATATCTGGATAATGAGATTGTTGGAAGCATTCTTCCAGGATTAAACTTTGACTTTCGGTGAAATTTGTTCGAAATTTGCGATTGTTGCGCCTTTTTGTATCTTAAATCGCCATTATTTTCACTTTTAATTGTTCTTGGCTTTTTGTCTTGCAATTAATTTATATTACCAACGTTCGTCAATGGTAATTTTTATAATTAAAATTTTTAAAAATGCAAAAGATTAGATTCATAAAGCTAAAAGCTTATATAAATAATAAATATCGTATTTATTAAGTTATTAATTATGCACTTATTTCTGGACATTGAAATGAAATGAATTTGCGAACATCACCGCAAGATTATTATAGTAATTAAAGTAGAGTGCAAAGCGAAGAGAGGATCGAATTAATTGGATTGGTAGATTTTTTTGAATTTCAAATTTCATCAATTTCTAATATTATTTTCAATCAATACTTTTTAATTTCAAGGATCGAGTTTTGTTTTATTTTAATTTCGTAACCTAGCACAATCCTTGAAATAATATTAGTAATATCGTAACTAGAAAGAAGGAAAGTGGCATTTCAAAAGGAATCTCACTGAAATAAACGATCAGATAGATGCATAAATCATAATTCACTTCGATATAAAAATAATCGTACAAATACGATTTAGATGCACATTGTTCGCATCGATTCTGGATAGTTCTAGTGACTCACTTGTGTTTCTGTCCTTAAGTAACACATTTAATAGAGGTTGCACCATATAAATCAGCAGAACCAACCAAACCAAATGGTGAGAGCTATTAGAAAAAAACAGCCCTAAATAATGAAACAAAAGATAAATTAAACCGTAAAGCAGTTAAATTTATGAAATGAGGGTTTATGAAAATAAATTTTTTACCTGATTCTTTATCCAGCTTCCTATTATAATCGATATTATTAGGACAAATCATTCGAACGTTCGGTCAAGGAAACAAAATAAAACTAGTAGTCTCGAATTAGTTAAAGATGAAAAACGGTGAGAAATGGAAACTGCAACGCAAGTGGCAACCATCTGTGTCCCACGACAATTAATGTTCAAGCGATTGCGAGCCATTAAGTAATCATTGACCGCAAATATTTTCCGATGTTTTGTTTCTGCTGCTTCTGCGAATGAACGATAGTATTTTACCATTTAAAACAAATAGAATCTGCTTGTTAAAACTTTTTGCAACTCCCATTATGAGAAAAAATACAAGATGTATTGTATAAAATACATGATGCCAAATTTATTATAATGTATTATTGTGGCGCGAAAGCATATAACCATCCAGTGATCGGACGGATGGGTATTTGTTTATCATAAGATTATTAATGGGTAAACGAAATAATAAAAATTTACTTATATATAAAATATAAAAATGTGTGAATAGATTCCACTATAGGTTTGCACGCAAATTTCCTTTGTGAAAATTTTTTAAGATGAAACTTATTGGGGGCGCCTATTCAGTTTCATAAATTGAATATAAATTTAAAAAGTAAAAATATAAATGTAAGTCGAATTTCTTAAGTCGCATTGATTACCACTGCATATAATCCAAGTTTCGTGAATTCCAGAATTCCATAGATTCTGATTTATAAGTATATAATGTCGTATTATGCATTTATTCGAATAAGGCTGATTATTATTTATTATTGTTGCTATCATTGTTAGTGTTTATTATTATTAATCAAATAATCTATTAGTAAAATCGGTTCTTTATGAAGAATTTCTTTCAATCAATTTAAAAAACAATGTATCAAATTTATTAAAGCATCAGTGGTTTCAATATAAAAATATTATGGTATAATAATTTGTAAGGTGATAATTTATTTGAAAATTTTGTATTGCTTAAATTCTATGTTTATTCGAGCATCAACAATCGTGATGCTTAAATAACAGCTTCTTCGGAAATAGAGAAAGAAACCAGAACATCCGAAAAAATCCAAAAAGCTATTTTAAAATTTATAAATAAGAAAACATCACAAGCATAGAACAAAGTTTCTTTCGTTCTTCGGCTAATTTTTTCATTCTATTTTTTTCGTTCAATATACAATGATTTCTCCAATTTATCAAAGATCCATTCTGAAATTTCACCTTCTAACAACATTTCTGGTTTGGTTGGCTATGAGACCTTTTTTGGCAGAAAATTATTTTACAAGACGGAATGGGTCTCTAGTACCATCCTAATTTCTTTTACTCTCATTAAAAAACGGAAATCGGACCTATATTAGTCGCAATGCATACCATTTGTAATGCTTATTTGCGCTTATTTCACACTGTCTAGATTTAAAATCCTACAGTTATATCCCAGTTTCTATACTGCAGCAATTTTATTCAAACGTGAAGCTCATAAATAAGAATCGAATAACCTTTTTGTAATAGTGATCACAATATCATTCATGCTTCATTAAAATTAGGCCGTTATTCACCTCCCTCGAGATTTTCTAGAAGTTACCGTCACTGTAATTATAATCTTTAACTCTATCCTCGCAGAAATAAACTGGGATTTCTTATTTTGTTTAATTCCCTCTATCGATGAAAAAGTTAATTTTCTTAATAGCATCATTTTATATCTAATAGACCGATATATCCCTTTAAGAAAAACGAACATTAGGTCGATTCCCACTTTTCTAAAATCCCTTAAGAAAAGTGTCAAGAAGCTTTATAACAAATATCAATTAACCAAATTGCCAAATGACCTCTCTGCATATAAAGAATGCTTAAAAAGTTTCCGTAGCGCCATTCATAATTACTTTTCAAATAAAGAAGAACAACTTTTAAATATTGATAGAAATTCTTTCTGGACCTGTATCAAAAAAAAATTTGCAAATCCACGTAAACAATTAATTCTGCAACATAATGATAATGTGATCACCTCTGATATTGATATTGCAAATGTATTTAATCAGTATTTTTCTAGTGTGCTTATTGAGGATAATACTCATACTTCCTGTATAAACGTAAATAGAATTTGTTGCACTTCTCTCGGCGAGATTGAAATAACACTACTATATGTTTATGACCTTAAGCCGTTTAAGCCGTCCATTTCAGCTGGTCCCGATAACATTCCACAAATAATTTATAAAAAATGCGCAGTCTCTATGAGTCTATTTTTAATTTATAAAGATATTATGAAGTCTGGCCTTAATCCCAAAATTTGGAAATTGTCCCATATAGTTCCCATTCATAAAAAAGGAAGCACCTATGACTCTTCTAATTACAGACCTATTAGCTTAACATGTGTGTTGGTATGAAGGTACTTGAAAGGTTGATTTGCAACAAATTGCTTACTTATCTTGATGCCAATAATTTCATATCTTCTTATCAGCATGGCTTTTGTACAAAAAAATCTACTTCACAAATATTGGCAAATCTCTCTGATTGGTCAGCATCAATTGACAATGGAAAATTGATATCAGTTGTGTACTTATATTTGGCTAAGGCTTTTGATGCTGTTTCCCATAGCAAATTATTGGTCACTCTTAATAGTTATGGCATAACAGGGGACCTCTGTAACTGGGTGTCAGATTATATAAAAGGTCGTTACCAGGCTGTATATGTTAACACCTGTTAAATCAGGTAGTTGTATTGCGCCATTGCTATTTCTATTATATATAAATGATATCACCACAGTGGTAATAAATTCTACTATTTATCTTTATGCTGATGATTGTAAAATTTATTGTTCACATGGTAGAGCGGAGAGCCTATCTCCACTACAGGAGGACCTCAACAGAACAGCTGACTGGCTATATGACAGGCAAATTACCCTTTCCTTTCAAAAATGTAGCGTTCTTCACATCAACTCTAAAGGATTCGATCTTCCTAACCTTTTTATAAATGGTAATTTAATCAATAGAGTCTCACACATCTCCGATCTTGGAATAATCATGGATGAAAATCTCGATTTCGATCTTCATTGCAGAACCATAATAAAGAAATCCTCAAGGATACTAAATTTTATTTTTCGTTCGTTTAAGAACAAAACTGAAAGTTTTCTTATCAAATTATGCAAAGCATTCGTTCGGCCTCTTCTTGAATACTACATGTTACTCCCCGAGACGTCGCAAAACAGATAAAATAATTGAAGGACTCCAAAAATATTTTCTACGACGCCTCTCTCCTAATAAAAATTATAATTTTAATTATAAAAGAACACTTCTACAACATTACATGGATTCTCTCTCAGTTCGTAGAATTAAACAAGATTTAATTTACACATATAAGATTCTGTATGGTTATGTTAAACTAGATTGCTCGAAATATTATAACTTTAGACTAAATTTGAATCCAACAAATGGCTTAAAATTACTAAAACCTATATGCAAAACTAAACTAAGGATTCATGACTTCTTTATTCGTACTATTAACTACTGGAACAAATTACCGAACGATGTAGCTTGTGCGTCATCCTTAGCTGTCTTTAAAAAAAGACTAGATAATATCATTTACGATATTATTTTAAAAAAAAAAAAGAGGGAAGAGTTTACACCAGGCAAGGACTGCAGGAAGTGAGAAATCTCGATTTTATCTTCAGGTTATACATATTACTTCGAATTGTACTATATTATATTGATCTGTAATTTCCTCTTTAAATTGTTAATTTTTGTCATATTGTTTTATAATTAATTTTGTTTATGTTATTTTTTTTTATGTTTTCTTTTTCTGTTATTTTAACTGTTATTATTAATACAGGCACATGGCGTTGTCGCCCTGCTTGGCTAGTTATCAATAAAGATAATGTATATCACAAAAGATGACTAACTTCGGAGATATTTCTTTAGTTTAGAACAGTATTCATTTGCCGTTCCAGAAAATCTATTGATACCATTATACCATTTATACCATTAAGATGCTTCAATAAGTCGGTTTGAAATGCGCTCACTGTCTCCGAGTCTTTTAGTTTGAGATAGTTGAAAAGTCTTGGAGAATGCTGTTTATTTATTGCGAGGATTTTATGCGGATCTTGAATCGGACCATTATATGTTTCATGAAGATTACTCGTTTCACGATAGGAACAATTATCTGACACGGAATTCTTCCAACGGCGGCTGATCAAGATATAATCAATCTGGTTGAAGCGTTGTTTATCCGGGAAATTAACTAGATGTTTTTTCCCACGATGTCAGGAGCAAATATTAGTAAAGTTCATGTTCTTCAGTATAACCCATTGGCGCACCAGTCTCCATATTTGCCAATTGTCGAGGTCATCGCAGCGCCATTATGACTTACGCTCATATTCCAGTCTCCCCCTGTTATGACCATGTCATATTTCGTTAGATACTTTTATTAGCAGTTGAAGTTCTGCACAGAACTTATCTTTATCACGATCATCTGCCGACAGAATTGGAGCATAGACACTGATGACCGAGATATTGCAGAACTTACCTTTAAAACGTGTATAGGTCATACGGTCGCTTACTGGTTTCTACTCAATCAAAGTGGAATGGGCCTTATCAGACATAATAATCCTTACGCCATTTCGTCCCGAGTTATTCGAAGCACCACAGTGATATAGCCATTATCTCTCTCCGAACCAGCACTAGTAATCCACTCGAGACCCGAAGTGAGGAAAAGTGACCTCTGACAAGCAAGCGATATCCACACGATATTTAGAAAGGGTGTGGATAGTGATCGCTTGATTGCAACCTCCATAAGCGTTCTGATGTTCCACGCTGATGCGACTAATATATCATATCGAGTTAGGTTTCCCCTTGATAGGTTTCGAGCAATTATCTTAGCTTGCGAGCATATTTATCAGCCTTAGGACCGCTTTACGCCCGGATTATACACTTATCCTATCTACCAATGGGCTGGGAGTATTTGCGCGGACGTATCAAGGCCGAATCAAGAATATCTGATCCTTTCACCATAGAATCATTTTGGAATAGAGTTACAGGTAGGTCCTTAGGAACCATGCAGGTTTTTGACATGACAGGTTTGCTCCTGTCATAGACATAATTTTTATGATATTATTTATTTTATAATGTTATTATAAATTTTATATATATATACATTTACATATATATATTTTATTTCAAATCTTTATTTTTTTAAATTTAGAGAAAAAACTTAGCTCGGTTTGAAAAACTTTTAGAAGTTTCGAAAAAAAGTCAAATTACTAATAACACTAATTTAAAGCATAATGGAATATTAATTTTCATCATTAAAAGATTTTTCGTCTTATAACATCATTCACCTTTTTTGGTTTGACTATAACAGAACCATTTGCCAGGGAGTCATGTGGAACTATTATAATCACATTCATATTGCTCCTTTAGAGGTTTGTCTTTATCAAAAGGATGAGACCAAGCCTTGAGCTTAATCGAAGCAAAAATGGCCATTTATTAAATTGAATTCGTATTTTTATTAAACCGTATTTTTCGTATTTTTCTTAGTAAAAGGAAAATATTGATAAGTTCATTAAAAAATAAAATTTTTATAAAGTGCCAAAACTGCCAAAAAATTTGCGTACTTTGTTATAAGCTCGATAAGTTGGTTTCATTGAAATAAAATATTTATCAAAAATAAAATCTGGATGAAAGCCTTCGAATATTTCTGGATATCTTTCGTTTTTTATTTGTTCGTTTGCCAGTATAGCTTTAGCTCTGATTTCTTTGGTCAGTGGAACAAAATAAGCTTCGTCAATTAACGGTTCTTGTAGTATTTCTGCAAATTTAATATAAAAAGCGTTAAAACTCTATCATTTAACTTATTAACTTCGAAGAATTCGCATATCTCTCAACATACGAGTTATTTTTATTTTGACAAATAATACTGATTTAGTGAAATGCGTGTCCAGAAAAAAACTCGGTTATTTTCTCGAAAATTTGCCAAATTTTTTTAATATCGCCCGTTCAAAATTTAATAATATCCTTTTAAGATTCCTTGCAACTATTCAAACATTTTCTAACAATTCCTTAATAGTTCTCTAATTTTTTCTTGCGCTCACAAAGTCGCAGATTTTTGCCACATGTAGTTTAAATTGTAAGTTGCTAAATCGCAATAACTGCAGTTACGATAAAGACTGGTATCGGAGAAGTATAGCGATAATACTAGGAAAGAATTATAAGGATTTGGCAGGCACCAATAGATCCATCAGTATTCCAAGGAATCTTAAGAATATACAGCATTCCAATATTAAAGGGCATATCGTAATTAGAACAAAAATCTCCCCGACCATAGGACGAATTTTTTTACTTTACATTATAAAATTATTTAAGCTACATGGAAAGCTAGTGTATCCAATGGCATAATAGAAATTCTCGTGAAGAAATTCTTATCTTATGAAAAAGAAGTTGAAAAATTGCCTTCAATAAAAATATTATTAGAAGTGCTGTTACCAAAATCATCAGTAAATTTATCAACAAAAGGTAATTTCGATCCATAAAAGAAAATCCATCCAATTGAAGCTGATGTTAGCAGTAACGCGAAAGTATGCAGAAAATTTGCTTCAATAAAATATTGCTCAATCAAGCAATATGAAATATAAGAAGCAATAAAGGTTATTTGTATTACATCGAAGATATCTGAAAGAATGCAAGTTAGTGGGCTCTTTAAAAGTACGATTTATGCCTGAAAAACTGATATTCTTTCCATTTTGTAAGATATTTATATCGCAAAAAGATATTTAATATTTAATAATATTGCAAATGCAAATTCAATTTGTTTAAGAAATTGATGCAATTTATTTTCATGAAAAAAGTTAAGCAATAACCGTGTTTGAGTTATAAACAAAAGTTAAAAGACGAGCATTACAGTAGGAGAATGGAACAACAGGAGAAATTTGGAAAGAAAGAAGAAAATTGAATGTTCCGATTCTTTCCGATTTTCATTTAAAACTGATTAAATAAAGGGGTTAACGCTCGCCACTGGTTAAGCTGATATTTATTAGTTAATAACGATTAGAAATTTTCACCAGAGCAATTATTTGGGTCGCTAGTAATACCTAATTTTTTTATGAAAAATTTTTCTGCCAGAGGATGGAAGCTTGCCTCTCAGTAGAGTCAACCTAAATCACAATCCGCTCAGATGTATTGCCACTCGCCATGGAAAATAATGGAATATGACAATCTTATGACAGTGATGATCATTCGTCTCGTAGAGGTCAACAGAAGTCTGTGAGAAACTGATACATCTTTTAATAGAATTGTCTTTTTTTCTCTACAATATTCAATTAATTGGCAAAATTGAATCATATAAATACTTAAAAATTGTACGAGTCTTTTATGAAGAAATTACAGAATGTGTCGCATATCGACGATAATTAATTTCAGTAAAAATGGCTCCAGATTGATATAAATAGGACGAAAGCTTTACGTATCAGATGGTAATAAAAACGCATTTTCATCAATTCATCACTCTTACTTAGTATTTTAACAATTTTTTTGTTCCTAAAATAAATTTCCCTATTTTGGCGAATTTTTATTGGAATTAAGCATCTTTATATAGCTTATATCTATTCTCATAAATGGCTGCGAAGCATGGCGAAGCGAAATAAGAGCGAACAGGTTGTTATCTATCTTCGACCATTCTTGTCTAATTCTTACCATACATCCGATACATGATATGATGCATCCAGTTTTACACGAATGTACCTATAGTATTATCATAATGACTTTATAAGTGTCGTTAGTTAGGCTATATTGATGCCTACCACGGTTTTCTAAGGCTTGTGATGAATACAATCAAAAACTAGGAGCACCATCAAAAAATTAGATTGATATTTCGAACAACCTACCGATATATGGATTTGGACGATGTTTACTTTCAGATATGACATCGAACTGATAGGCTTAGAAGCACAGCACTTCTACCCCATAGCCAGTGGTACCAGACTAAGTAATTGTGCAAACTGTTAAAAGAACTCAAGCTTCGTAAACAATAAATTGAAATTAATCAACAACTTACCGTAATAATTTAATAAATTGCTATCATTATTATGTTTGATAAAAACAATAACAGGCCAATGAATTAAATATGCTGAATAAGAAATATTCCCAATAAATATTAAAATTGAATTTATTGAAGTATTGTCAGTGAAGCATCGCCATTTACCAATAATAAGAATAGTTGTTGCTAACGATGCAACTACACGATATGGTTTTTGTGGTAACTTGATGAGAAATATTGGTGATAACGATAACAAAGATAATACATTAATCATTTTCCAAACTATTGGCGTTTCTTGCTTATCTTGCTTTTCATCTATGAGAAAAACAAAATTATTTAATCGCTTGTTAAGTATAATCTGGATTAGACAAATATAATTTATCATCTTATTTCAATTCCTATAAAAAGTTTCTGGTTAGGTCCGCTACGCTGGCTCATCGTTCCAGACAAATTTGAACAGGCAGTCACCTGACGATCGATGTGATACGAATCGATAGTGCCATCGGATTTTTGAAAGATAATTTACCCACCAGCACTAAAACGCCAGCACTCTATAGTAAAAGCAACAATCCGCTGAGCCCATTCTACCTCTATTGATAAATTTTATAAGGATAATTTTTCTCTCATCCTAAGCGTGATTTTCGCTTATGGATCAGAGATGTGAAAATCTTGCCTTATTGTTTATTTTTGTCATTATTATTGAATTTTCCGTAATTGAAATTCAATTCTTGATTGATAATTCAAGTAAAACCTCGTAAATCATTTTGTTGGATAAATTCATATGCGAATGCACCAAGAAAAAATTGCCAAAATCGACTGAAAACGAACGAAAATGAAGTGGCACCAGTCGTGCATAAATGAGTAATTAATGAAGCCAACAAAATAGTTGACATGACGCTACGGTAATAGGATAAATATTGTCGCAGAAATATGAATAATGGTGCAGATAAATAGAATTGCACTTCAACTGCCAATGACCATGTATGCAATAAAATTTCGTAGCGTTGACCCTGAAGGGGATTTATTTGAAAAATTAACCATTTATAAATTAAAACTTTTGTTGAATAAAACTATTTTACTATTAGTGAATAAGTATTTCGAAAAATATATTTAATTTTATACTTAAATATTTTACATTTAAATCTCATAATACAGTTTGTAAATATTATATTTCATTTGGTAAAATCTAATTTAATTATAATTTAACTAATTAATTTGAACAATGACAGGAAAAACATTATGAAGTAAATTTATTAAATCGAACACGGGTATATCATTTTTCTGAAAATTTTCGCAAATATAATAAAAAACATGTAAAAAATGATTCGAATCATTGGATTCTGAATAAAGTAAAAAATCGAGGATATAAACGAAAGAGCGATGTGTATTATTAGGGATAAATAAGCGAAAAATTCAAATGGATGATCGGTAGTTTTATATTATTAATACACTCAATGATTCAAAGTACCAATGAAGTATTTTTTGCAATAAAGTCGTGATAAACCAGTGAATTGCATGCGAAAGAAATTGGAACAAAAAAGTGCCCAAATAGTTTTTAAGTTTAGTTGCCTTAAAGAAAAAGAAATCGAGTTAGAAAAAATTATCGTTATCATTAGTAATCAGAAGCAAAGAAGAAAGAGCAGCCAGCAAATTGTATTTTATATAGATAGTTCCATCGAAAAAAAATTTAACCATGAATGACGTTCATTCAACTCGAAGAATAAGAAGCATCTTTGCATTATATCGCATATCGGTTAAAAAAATTTGAAAATTTCTGAATTTAATAAAAATTTTAAACTTACTAAGGCAAAATAATCTCCTTCGTCGATCCATTTTTCAATATTTGTGGCAAAAATAAATGCAAAACGTGCATCTCGAATCAAAGCTGTCTTATCAGTGATAATCAAAAAATTATGAGCCAAAAATACGACGATGATAACCATAATATAATATGCAGGAAATATTCGACGAATTCTTTTCGAAAAATAATTCAAGATCACGGATAATGATAGTGGCTTGGATCTATTTAAAATCATTGTGATAAGATAGCCAGAGATAATAAAAAATATATCCACACCTATATAACCATTTGGAAATATTTGTGGACTTATATGAAACAGTACTACATAGATTATCGCGATACCACGAAGACACTGAATATCATCACGCTTTTTCACCACTTCGCTTTCAGTATTTTCTAAATTTTTTTATTGTAATTGCTTTTCAATAAAAAATTTATTGAAATTATTTGTAGAAATAACAATGAATAGTTCATGAAAATAAATAATTAGTAAAAAATAATGAGTAAATAATTAGTAAAAAAAAACTTTCAAGATACAAACCTATATTTTTAGTATTAATGAGCGGATAGATTTCTTCGAGTTTTGCCTCATTCAACATTATTTCGCCACTTTTTTTCTGCAAAATTTTCAAAATCATTAACATAAGAAAGTTGAAATTAATTTTCAAAAAGAATTTAGAAACTGAATTGATTCTTTTTTAATCGAATAAAAGAACTTTTCAAATATTTAAATTCAATTAAAAAATATAAAATTGGCGATTTAGTATAGATTAATGATTACCAGTAGAGACCAAGGAACATTTTGGGAGAGAATTCACAAGGATATGAAAGCTGAAGGCCACAGAAATTGCTAGGTGACTTCCGAAGCCATATGAAATTTGTGCTATATTATGAAATGGAATATAAAAGTTTTTAAAAGAAATCCTAAGTATCATGTGAAAGTTTTAATTGGAAATTCCATATAAAGTGGACCAAAGTTGTGAAAAAGAGGAATCTTTCCTCTTTTACTGTTGTAAAGATTAACTCTAAGAAGGTTGTGCTTAATTTGAATTCACTTCTACTTTCCTTCATTCTGTAAACAACGTAGTCTTCCATTTTCTGTTCGAGTGTGTGTAGAGCTTCTTTTAACTGTGAATTCCATTTTAATCTCCAGCTCATGGCCTATGACCAACAGCACTCCACTGAGCACTTTGCCTAAAGATTGCTTCACAGCCAAACAGTAGAACAGTAGAACGACCGTTGATAATTTACTATATAAAAGTGAAAAATTCATAATATTGGCAAAATATTGATCAAAAATATTAGGAAAATTATCCCATTAAGCATCTCATCAATATCAACGTGCATAGATGAAATGGTTTTTGACCGTAACCAACGAATCCAAAGTCCTTTAACTCAAGCTATGCTTATTAAAAATAGCTTCGTTTTAAAGCCATTATCTTTCGATCCTTATTTCTTCTCACTAGGAATATAAATGAGGAAATAGGCGTACAAAGGTGAAAATGTGTTCAAGAGGAGGAACCATGAGAGAAAAGGATTGAAAACCATTGGCATAGACCAACATTTTGCACCTAAAAAGCATTTAATACAATATATAAAAGTGTAATTTGCTAATACGTTTTTGTTTTTTGTTCTCATTTTTGTTACTAATTTTTCATTTTAATTCATCTGAAATTTGAAATTTAAGATATTCAGTTGATAATATTGTATTAATTCTTCTCTTTTGATATTAATTCTCCTATTCTTCTACCACTTTATTATCAATTTTTCTTTTTTTTTTATTTTTATTGGTAATAAATTGTCAAATATATATTTTTTTTTACATTTATTTATGAGCATAAAATTTATTCAAGCAAAATAGTATCCGTATTATTAAGTATCCGTCAATAAATTAATAAATACATAAATGTTATATTTAAAATAAAACATATGCAAAATATGGAAAATATTATAACAATATTTAACACTAAAAATGAATAAAAAATAAAAATAAATTGCAACGAACTAAATAATAAAAGCAAATTAGAATTTTACGGTGAAAAAGAAACAGAATGTATGTCACGAAACGATTATCAAAAAATGATAATCTTATCTTTAAGAAGTTAAAAAATTAATGAAAAGATTAGAGATAAAGAATAAATAGATAATAAAAATATTCTATAAAGAAGTCGTTCAATTAAAATTTTATTTAAATAGTTTTTTACGAAAATTTCGCGCAAACAACCTCAATTTCAATATGAAAAGAGGACTCCAAATGTTTTATATTGCACCGTTATAACTTGCAATATTAATAAAGATTCTAATGAAAATAAACACAGAAAATCCTCATACAGGAATCTCATAAACCAATATCGCTTATCTTGTTCCTCTGCTTCAATCCAATTGCTCATAAATCCAGGCAAAGATCCAAGAATCGATTTGATAGGTCCTAAAATGGACGAAAAGAACAATGAGAGCGCTGGGTATTAGCAATATTATCATGGCTGAACACGGTGAATTTTTTTCAAAACTTATTAAAGTAAAATTATTTGGCAAATATGGTGTTAATTTACTTACAGTAAATTAATACATTAAATTAAATTATGTAATTTAGTAAATTAAATTAAATTATGTAATAAAGAAATTATAGAATACAGGTCCTCTACCAGAGACCTTGTAAATTGAGAGCATAGTACCTTATGTTGTTACCGGAATCTGTTAAAACTATTTTTCTAGTTTAAAGGGGCTGTTAGTGCTCCAACAGTGCTATCACTGAGACTATTTTGGTACTTTCCACAGCTTTTCTAATTTCTCTTTCAGCGCCTGGTTTTTCTCTAGCTTTTCATATTCCTTTTTCCTAACGTTCCTGTCATTTGAAATTTATTCACAGATGACCTTGAGCTTGATATCTATCTATCTATCTATTTATGATTTTTCTGATTCTTGTCTGTGTTTGCTTGGCCAGTATATATTTACCTATCTGAATGGAAGCGCCGTAGGATCTTTGCTTTATTATTCTCCACCATTTTCTGAGGAAACTCCTAATCTTGAAAGAGTCTAAGTCATATGTTGAGCCGATATTTCCGTAGATAATGCCAGCTACTTGGATAACTATTGCGAACTATAGCGATTGTAAAGGTTCGATTAGTTATGATGTGTGAGATTCAATGTGTGAGCCGACTTTAAGGGAAAATTCTGTAATGCCTCGCTCATAAATACTCCTACTATATTCACAGGTGACATTGAGCTTGAATCATCACTAACAACATAATATCTCCAAAGAGATAAAGGGAACAAGACATGATAACTTACTATATTGATGACTTGGAAGTATGCCATGAATACTCCTTTTTTTAGTTTGTCGAGAAATAGGGGCCTTTTGCAATTAATGCTTACTTTCGGTATCGGAGAAAGTGTCCAATTACATGGAATTCTCTATATAACCACATTCTAACTAGATTGGTAACATTTTGGATTATGGAAAGAAAAATTTTTGTTTGGCGAGCGGTCATTTTTAAGAAATTATTCTCGATTTATTTTGTTTTACTTGTGAATTATTTCTGACAATAATTCAGCTAAGTTCTCTTGAACTTTTAATTTTTTTTTACCAAACAATGTTTAAAATTAAAATAAAATAAATTAAAATTAAATCAAATCAATTAAATTGTATAAATAATATATATATATATATATATTTCATATATATATATATATTCATATATATATATATATATATATTTTTTCAAATTTCATTGTTCATTTTATTATTTTCTTCAAATTTAATCTTTTTTTTTGTTTTTGGTAGAAGTAAACCTGCTATTATGTCAAAAATCCGAGTGGCTGCTGAGGACTCACCTGTAACTCTATCGCCAAGTGACTCTATGGTGAAAGAGTTAGATACATTTGATACGGCGTCCGCGTCTCCCGACGCGCATGATACTTCGAGCCCAGTGGTACATGCGATAAGAACGCTTATGCAAGTCAAGCGATCACTGTCCACACCCTGTCTAAGTATCGTATGGATATCGCTTGCTTGTCAGAGGTCCGTCTTCCTCACTTCGGATCTGGAGTGGATTACTAGTCCTGGTTCGGAGAGAGATAATGGCTATATCACTGTGGTGCTTCGAATAACTCGGGATGAAATGGCGTAAGGATTATTATGTCTGGCAAGGCCTATCATAGAAAACATCCAGTCACGTGGAACTCTCCGGACAATCAACATTTCAATCAGATTGATTATATTTTAGTCAGTCGCCGTTGGAAGAGTTCCGTACTAGATTGTCATTCCTATCGCGGAGCTGAAACAGGCAATCTTCATGGATCTGGCCATGTTATGGTTCGAGCCAAGATCCGCATAAAATTGACAACTCGCAGAAAACAGCATCCCCCAAGTCCAAGTTCCTTCAACTATCTCAAATTAAAAAATTCGGGAACAGTGAGCGCAAATCGAATTATTGAAGCATCTCAATGATACAAATATCAATGATTTTTCTGGAACGGCAAATGAATACTGGTCCAAACTAAAGGATTGTCTCCGAAAATGTCAGCCACTTCCACGCTAGGGCATACTAGTAGGAAGTGCGTTAGTTGGGTATCGGAAGCAACTGTCCAATTGTCTGAAAAAACTGCCAAAGCACGAATGTCGAACGAAGGTGATCCTGACTACCGGGTGCTTCGAAGATTTGCAACGAAAGCAGCAAGGCGGGACAGAAATTACTATTTGAATAAGATGGCCTAAAGAATTGAGGCAGCGACTCGATTAGGCGACAGTAGGAAACTATTCTGCCTTCTTCATAAAGCAACTATGATTTGGGGAACGATCGTCTCATAAGATGGAACAGTGAAGTGGTAAGAGACAGCAGTGGTCAAAGTACTGATCAAAAGTATTAAAGATCGTCTCATAAGATGGAAAGAATTCTTTAAATGGAAAGAATTCTTTAAGGCCAAACTTAACCATGAAGCTCCATCTGTTGCCCCTGATATATTTGCCGAAGCGTACGCTTGCAATTGAGAGCCTCCAACAGAAGAAATAATTTCAGTTATCCATAAGCTTAAGACCAACAAAACTCCAAGAGAAGATGTTCTTGGTCTGAGCTTTTCAAATGCTGTCCATCGTCCTTCATAACGCACCTTCAACAAATGTACTCTTTAGTATGTAAGAAAGAAATACCAGATGATTGGAGCAAAGCAATTCTACTCCCAATTCTCAAGAAAGGTGATAGGACATACTGCGACAATTATCGAGGAATCAGCCTACTAGGCGTCTCAGCAAAAATTTTTGCTTCCCTTTTACTCAACAGACTTATGGAAGTACGGGACAACAGGATGCGCCCTAATTAAGCTGGTTTCAGGATGCGGTTGTGCTGACCAGATATTCACGTTAAAAAGAGTGTTGGAACATCTCTTCAGATATTTGCCACTGTCATGTGTTTCATTGACTTTGCGGCTGCCTTTGATTCAATTGATAAAGCGGCGCTTTGGAGGGTGATGGAACGTGACGGTGTTCCAAAGAAAATCATTAGACTCATAAGGGCATTTTATAAGCGCACGTCGGCGCAGGTCTATGTATATGG